CAGAGAAGCTGGCTAGAGAATGCATACTGTCGTCAAGTAGAGAGAAATAGGAGTAGGTTAATCTCCTCAAACCTTCTTAGCTATTTAATAAGTCCATGACAGATCTCCACGTTCCTCAATTCCCTTAGAAACCAAATTTCTCAGATCTCAAACTTGAATATACTCAAGTGAACATCCAAAGCCCTCTAGGGTAGAGGGCTCCCAAGCCTTACAGCCCTTTGAAGAAATTTCTCAATCTAAACTGACCAATTCCTTATTCCAAGATTCTGATCCCCATATTCCCTAGCTGGGAAACACTAACATCTATCCCATTAACCCCCTTGAGAATGTTATACATTTCAATGAGATCAACTCCCATTCTCAAGTCCACAGAATATGGGCATAATCTTAAGAGTCATATAGCGGAATAACAGACCCTTTGGACCAATTTACCCATACTGACTGGATATCCCAAACTGATCTAGTCCCATTTGCCACCATTTGGCCCATATCCCTCTCAACCCTTCCTATTCATATACCCATCCAGATGGCTTTTAAATACTGTAATTGTACTCACCTCCATCACTTCCTCTGGCAGCTCATTCCATACACACACCACTTTCTGCGTGAAAAAGTTGCCCTTCCAGTCCCTTTAAGTCTTTCCCAGCCAACCTTAAAACAATGCCATCAAGTTCTGGATTCCCCTACCCTGGGGAAAAGACCTTGTCTATTCACCCTATCAATGCCCCTCATGATTTTATAAACCTCTATATGGTCACCCCTCAGCCTCTGACTCTCCAGGGAAACTAGCCCCAGCCTATTCAGCCTCTTGCTATAGTTCAACCCCTCCAGTCCTGGCAACATCTTTGTAAAATCTTTTCGGCACCCTCTCAAGTTTAATAGCATCTTTCCCATAGAAGAGCAACCAGAATTTTACAGTATTCCAAAACTGGCCTCACCAATATCTTGTACAGCCACAACATGACCTCCCTATTCCTACACTCAATGCACTGATCAATAAAGGCAAGCATACCAAATGCCTTCTTCACCACCCTGTTTACCCAGGACTCCATTTCCAAGCAGCTATGCACCTGCACCCCTTGAAAGCTCTTCATAGGAGATCGTCTTATCTCCTGAACCCTAGTTGCACTCTTAAAGTATATACACCTTATGATCAAAACAGCAGTGAGCCAGGGATAGTAGGAACTGCAGATGCTGGAGAATCCGAGACAACAAGGTGCAGGGCTGGATGAACACAGCAGGCCAAGCAGCATCATAGCAGCAGAGAGGCTGACGTTTCGGGCCTAGACCCTTCATCACGTCAGCCTCTCTGCTCCTATGATGCTGCTTGGCCTGCTGTGTTCATCCAGCCCAGCAGTGAGCCAGGTATGGTTTTACAATTAAAAAAAAGTTGTTCAATTTCCTCTCTCTTACTCCAAACCCTTTGGCTGAAAAAGGGTAGCGTTCATACACAATCTTGTACATGAGAAAGCATTACCTTGCATACAGTGAGGTTGAGTCAGCCTGCAAGCTATTATCACATCAGGTATCCAACTTCAGTAACAAGTGCCTAGGTCTGTGACACTAATGAGTGTTGACAGTCCTTTCAAATGGACACTGAGGACATGTGTCTGTTACTGTTTACAACCAAATGGGTATAGACAAAACACGGCAAAGGAAAAGTTCAGAAAGTATAGAGAACTACATTGCCATATTAAGATTAGATAGTAATTCTGAAACACTCCCTTGTTCAAAGAGACCACAAACAGATTCATTCTTTGTTTGGTTTAACTGGAGATTATTTCACCCCCTTCATTTATTCTATTTACTTCTAATTATTTTAACAACAACATTTTAAATCACAAATTTATTTTGTGAATTTATAATGGCCAATCAGTACCCATAAAAGGCTTCACTCAGTCTTTTTAAAAATAACAAGGAATGTAAATTTAAAGTTGTCTCTCTCAATGAGATGTCAAAATTTAGTTGAAAGATGTACACTGAAATGAAGAGATTGAAGGTAAATACTGCTCAATGAGACTTAAAATTAAAATAGAACTGCTGAGCTATTGCTATTGTAAATAACAGCTGCAGTCAAGAAAAATTGTTTGCAATTTTTTTGAACACCTTCATTTAAGTCTGCATTCACTCCATTGTCGGTAAACCACTTAATAAGGCACACATTATTCTCAAGAAAAGAAAACCCACATTATTTCTTGAATTCTTCAGTCCAGCTGTTTGGAAATCTCCTCGTTATAAAAACACAAAACAATGCGGTACTAAACTTCTCTGCATGCTTCCTCAGTGTGAAAGCTGTGTCTGCAACCAAAGTAACAGCTTACTTCCTCAGAATTTGATCAATCCTCCTTAACTTCCTCCAACACACGTTATAGTGACTACCTGATAAACTACACATGAACAAATACTGAGCTCAGTGATTACAGTAATGTAGTGAGGACGATCATTCTATATACTCTTGCCATTCGCAGATGTATTTCCCCCAAAATATTGAGCAAGACGGTTGAAAATAACACCTGTAGGACATTCTTAACTGCCCACTGATTTCAGCATTGCTTTCCTAAAAGATCATTAAAACAAAAATTGCAGGCAAGTGTTTATGGCCATTAAATTAAAATGCCAGATTTATCAGTCATAATTGAATTCACTGGTTAGTCACAGTTCCATTTAATATTTCACTTATCCACAGCTTTAAAAAAAGACATTACAAACCATTGGAGAATTAGAGTTTTAATCAAAATAGCATTTTTCAAAAAGTGAACCATAGTGTTAACAGGTGCTCTTTTTGTTCTAAAGAGAAAGATAAAGATAAAAGGTAAATTTTACAGTTTAAAGAGCACAAAACATTTTAAAAATGATCATGCTATTGTCTTGTTTCAGTAGAAGTTCACTAAAGCAAAAAAGGGAAGTGAAATAAAGGAACTAATGAATACAGATGAAGCAATATAGCAAGATTACCAACAGGTAAATTTACAGCTAAGCAACTGAGAGATACAGGTAAAGAATTATAGTTTTATGAGACTAGAAGGCTGCTTTCCCATTAGAGACAGATAGTGTTTAAACTGAGGGTCACCACGCCACAGGCAAGGGGAAGAAATTGAGAAGGACAACCCTTCATGGTAACCTCAGCAAGGGCAGAAATTTAACCCACACATTCTGCATCACGAACCAGCCATCAAGCCAACTGAGTACATCACTTAACACTGAAGGACTTTTGTGGTGCACTGGTAGTGTCCCTACCTCTGGATTAAAGATTTTTTCCCCCTAAAGATTTGACTGCTTGACACACAAGGGTCTGGTCTGCAATGTACATCAGCCTCAATAGCTCTGGGCTTAGGGGAACAGCAGCAGAAAGGATTGGGCACAATTTAGAGTCTCGATTCAGAAACAAGTAAAAACATGCTTTAAGTGACATGATCCTGATGGGGGGTTCGACTGTGCTTTATCCACTTTCTCATAGGGAATGAGAATTGAGACTACATAGAGCTGACCCAGAGGAAAAGTACAACAGGACAAGCTATCTATGAAATCATGCAGTGATTCATACTCCTGACAGTCATCAAGAATAGTTTCTTCCACATTTAAATTGCTGCTCATTACCCGGGTGCGGCTGCATCCCCATTTGACTGAGATTCAGTATCTTGAGACTGGGGAATCAGAACTCAATCATCATCTCATGAACTGAGTGTGTTTATTTTAAAATAATTATATAAACTGTAAGTCAAGCCAATGTGGTCGAAAAAGAATCATAAAAATTATCTTGCATACACTTCCAGAAATACTGGCAGTTTTTCCTGTACTTGGTCCAACTGCAGAAAGGCTCCCACTAATTGTGGAAGTGAACCCTCGTCGGATTTACTACCTTTAAAAAGGAAAAAGGGGGCACTCAAGGATGATCATTTTAGCCCCAGTATTTTATTTTGAGTTCTTTCATCCCGTGCCATTACTCTGTCACAAATACCAAACACTAGTGTGGATAACCGGTTAACAATTTCCACAGATCAGTGCGTCTGAATAGCCGCTGCTGGATTATAATCGATCGGAGACGTGGCACCAGCTGTATTCCCAATGTCTACTGAAAAGATTCTCGCCCTGTCACTATCAAAATGATGATGTCGAGCCGTTATGGCAATTTGGTTGATAAAAGATGCCCAACTCCAAAAGTTAACTCGTTTAAAAGCAGCCACGGACTAGTTAACTTCTATAAATGGCGAGACGAGTGAAAATCACCACAGCAGTAAAAATAGCCCAAATTCTTCGGCTTTACCAGAAGATAAACAGTTTTTAAACATGGAAAAATGTACTTATACATTACAGCATTAGTCATCAACAATTCTTCCCATTGACTCATTCTCCCAACAGACCACTATCAGCTTAGCGAAACAACTCTAATTGCAGAAAGTTTGCACAAACTAAATTCTTTTAAATCAAAAAAAACTTTTAAACTGAGTTCGACTTTTTAAAAGAAAAACCAAGACCATTTGAAGATTTTTCTTTTAAGTGGAAAAAAAAGTCCTTCCATTCTCGCAGCCTGTAGGAAAATATGCAAAAACTTGAATTAGATCAATAGTGGACCCCGGTTAACGCCCATTTGAGAAGGAAACAATACTCCAGGCAGGGAATTAACACAGAATGCAAACGGAGGCGAGGACAAGTCTGAACATTGTGAAATCCTTTTAAGTCTGCAGGATTCTAGACGGACAAACACCCATATTTGGTTACAAATATTCCAGTTTTCAATAAAGTGAAAATTGAATAATTGTGCAGGGTGAAGTGGTAAAAGAACATTTTTTTTTTAAAAAAAAGATTTTCAACTACAAACCACATAATGAGAACGATAGTCGGCGAAAGTCACGCACACTACCCATAGCAATTTCACCCAGTCCCATACAATAAGGCCGAGCACAACTCCCTCATTCATTTCTACATACAGCACATTCCTCAGCCTGAGCAGCTCGCAACTCGGGGAATAAGACAAACGTAGAGTAAAGAACGCCCCTTACCTCCCGATCTCACTTAATGCACAGTGACAAACAAACCCTAACGAAGGCACAATGGCTTTGAAGCAGCTGATATGTAAGTAGGGCTTGGCTTAAACAACCCCGCCCTCTAAATCCACATCTCAATTCTCCTGCCTCTCGGTCGGGCAAGAATAGAAACTCACTGAGGTGGCGCCAGTGAGCTCCTGAAGTGATATCCGCAGCTGCAGCCTGGTCAGATTTCAAGCGAAGCCTTTTCATTTCAAAACACTAACAACATGTTTCCTTCCATTAAACCCGTGCATTTTTTTTCCCCCTGTGATTTTGTCAGTTCCTAATGAATTGTCATTTAGGGCAAAGTATGAGAGATTTCGAGCAACTAGCCATCCTGTGAATCAATTTTAAGTTACTGTACTAGGAATTCTTTGGGATTAAAGTGGTAATTGAAGGAGAGCCAATGTTGAATATTCGACCCCAAAAAAGGCAAATCTATAAATTTTCAGCATTCAATTCTGTATTTTAGGCAATAAAACCCGCAAGAACTGCAGATGCTGTAAATCAGAAACAAAAATTGAAATTGCTGGAAAAGCTCAGCAGATCTGTGCAGCATCTTCTGAGGACAGGTCACTCGACCCAAAACATTAACTCTGATTTCTTTCCGCAGATGCTAGCAGACTTGCTGAGCTTTTCCAGCAATTTCTATTTTTGTTCCATGAGTTTAAATGATGTATAAAATCCAAACAGAAATTGCAGGAGAAACTCAGCAGGCCTGGCAGCATCTGTGGAGAAATCTTCAGTTCCAGACCGGCTGAGTTTTTCCAGCATACTTTTTATTTCAGATCACCAGCATCTGCAGTATTGTATTTTATTTCAATGATGTTTGTTTTCTCCTCTTTGCCTTCTTGAAATCGATTCAATACAAAGTGCCTCCTTTTTGAACAATAGTCCCAAATTTATAATTTAAATAAAATAAGAATGCTGAAAGCACAATAAAAAGTTGTTTGTTAATGCATAGGTTGTGATGAAGGATGAAGTAAAATTGGATCTGGAAAGTTTTGAGATAGAGTGAGGTGGTTCTTCAGATAGATGTGAAGGGAGTACATGGCACTAAGTGTCGATCTTAAGAAATATGCACATGAGTAGGCTGTTCAGCCCCTCAAGTTTGCTCCACCATTCAATAGGATAATGGCTGATCTGACATTCCTCACGGGCCTCACTTTCCCGCCCTTTTCCCGTAACCCTCAATTCCCAAAGGATTTATCTCAGCCTTAATTATAAACAAGGACGCTGCCCCCACAGCTCTCTGTGGCAAGGAGTTCCAAAATCCCAAAGCCCTCTAGGAGGAGAAATTTCTCCTCATCTCAGTCTTAAATTGGTGCCCCTTCGTTCTGAGACTATGCCCTCTGGTCGTAGACTCTTCCATGAGGGAAAACATCCTCTCAGCATTGATCTTGTCAAGCCCCTTAAGAATCGTTTATGTTTCAATGAGATCACCTCTCATTCTTCCAAACTCCAATGAGTAGACCTGTTTAGCCTTTGCTCATAAGACTTTCCCTCCATATCAGGGATCATCCCAGTGAACTTTATTTGAATTGCCTACAATAAAAAAAATTTAAGGGGTCAAAACTGCTCACAGTACTCCAGATGTGGTCTCCCCAGCACCTTGTGCAGATGTAGTAAGATTTCCCTACTCTTATGCTCCAACACCCTTGAAATAAGGGCCAACATTCCATTTGCCTTCCTGATTACCTGTGCACCTGTGTTCTAGCTTTCTGTGTTTTATAGAATCATAGAATCCCTACAGTGTGGAAACAGGCCCTTTGGCCCAACAAGTGCACACCGACCGTTGGAGCATCCCACCCAGACCCATCCCCTTATAACCCACCTAAGCTATACATCCCTGAGCACTATGGGCAATTTAGCATGGCCAGTCTGCCTAACCTACACATCTTTGGACTGTGGGAGGAAACTGGAGTACCTGGAGGAAACCCATGCAGATATGGGGAGAATGTGCAAACTCCACACAGACAGTTGCCTGAGGGTGGAATTGAACCCAGGTCTCTGGTCCTGTGAGGCAGTAGTGCTAACCACTGAGCCACTGTGGTGCACTCCCCTTGTGTTGCAGCTTTCTGCAGTTTTTCACTACTTAAATAATATTCTGTTCTTTCTGTACATCTAGGAGAGTTTTGTAATCGTGGGTCAGGATATTTTATGAGGAAAGATTGGACAGGCTGAGCTAGTTTCCAGTGGAGTTTAGAAGAGTGGGGGGGCGGTGGTGGTGACTTAATTGAAGAATACCAAATACTGAACTATCTTGACAAAGTGGACATGGAAAGGATGATTCTTCTTGTGCATGAATCCAAAACCAGGGTGTCACCTTTTAGGGACAGAGATGAGAATTATTTTTCTCTCAGCCAACTGTGTGACTGTGTCTCTGCCTCATAAGGTGGTGAAGGCGAATTGTGGGGGGGAGGTGTTCATTAAATAATTTTAAGGCAGAGTGGATAGATTCTTGTTAGACAGGGGAATCAAGGGTTATGGTGGGTAGACGTGAGTGTAGAATTCAAAACACATTCATAATCAAATGGAATGGCAGAGCAGGCTCACGGTACTGAACGACCTATGTCTGCTCCTAATTGCTTTGTTCAATACACAAAGGGTCAAATTTCCTGGTATATTTATTTACTTTGTTCTTCTCACAAAATACACGCTTTGCTCATTCATTCACTCTCTGTCCAATTATCTATAAATGGCCACTTTCCTTTTCGATTCCATATTTATTTACAGTTTGTATTAACTGTAAAATATTGAGACAAATGTAGATAAAAGGACACAATTTATCTCCAGTGTTGGAACATTTCAGGATAAATATTTATAATGATAATGTTCTTATGGTGTAAGATACATCGTATTGTCTGAGAAGTAAAATGAAGGAGAATACAAATAATTGGGAATGAGTTTAAGCAAAAAGAACTCTCATTTTGGGACCAAATCTTGGAAGTATGTAATGACCTGATAGCTTTTTTGGGAGAATTTCCCAACTGTCTGAAAATCATAAAAGCTTATTTTAAAATAAAATGTAACCATTATTCTTTTATATATAACAATCAAGAAAAAATATTCCCTCTAATAGGTCAGCCATTTCCCAACTAATGGTGACAGGAAGGGGTAGAAAATATATGCAAAAGATGGAAGAAAAATTATAAGCTGAGTAAGTAATAATGGTAAGAAGTTAAAGCTCTTCATTTTAATGCATGCAGGAATTGTAACAATATAGACGAGTTATTGGTACAAATGGAAAAAAGTGACTACAATTTGATAGTTATTACAGAGATGTGGTTGCACGGTGACTAAGACTGCAATTGGAGAATTAATAATGGGGAACACGGAAATGGGAGGTCATCAAACCAATATTTTGTATCAATCTTCACAGTGGAGGACTCTATAACCACTCCAAAAGTAACTGATAAACAAGGTGCTAATGGGAGGAAAGATCTTGTAACAGCCTCTATCATGAAGGACAAAGCATTAGACAAACTATTGAGACTAAGGGCAGGCAAGTCTCCAGGACCCGATGGCCTGCAACCAAGGGATTTAATAAAAGTGGCTGCAGAGACAGTGGAAGCAGTGTTTGAAATATTCTAGAACTCGCTGGGATCCAGAAGATTTCCAGTGGGTTGGAAAACTACTAATGTGATGCCCCTGTTCACGAAGGAAGGGAGACAGAGAATGCAGGAATCTATAGGTCAGTTAACCTAACATCATGGGCGGCACATCATGGGCTTAGTTGTTAGCACTGCTGCCTCACAACACCAAGGACCCAGGTTCAATTCCAGCTTCAGGTGACTGTCTGTGTGGAGTTTGCACATTCTTCCCAAGTCTGTATGGTTTCCTCCGGGTGTTCTGGTTTCCTCCCACAGTCCAAAGATGTGCTGGTCTGGTGGATTGACCATGCTAAATTGTCTAAAATGTCCAGGAATGTGTGGGTTAGGTGGATTAGCCATGGGAAATGCTGTGTTATGTGGATAGGGTGGGGGGTGAGTCTGGGGGGTATGCTCTTCGGAAGTCGGTATGGACTTGTCGGGACGAATGGCCTGCTTCCACGCTGTAGGGATTCTAAAATAAAATCTATCATTGGTAACATGTTAGAGTCATTATTAAGGAAGAAATAGCAGAATAGTCATCTCTACCCTGGGAAAAAGTCTATGACAATCCATTCTATCTACGTCTCTTTTATGAAAGGGAAATTATGTTTGATAAATTTGCTCGAGTTCTTTGAGGATCTAAGAAGCAGAGTTGATAAAGGCGAATTGGTAGCTGTATTATAGTTGGATTTTCAGAAAGCCATTGATAATGTATTACTTAAGGTTATTGCACAAGATAGAAGCTTGTGGTATTTGGGGTAACGTATTATCATGGATTGAGGACCAGTTAACACACAGAATGCAGAGATTTAGGATTAATGGAACTTTTTCTAGTTGGAAAATCGTGACTAGTAGAGTACCACTAGGATTAGTCCCAGAGCCTCCATTATTTACTACCTTTATGAATGACTTGCTGGAGGGGCAGAATGTAATGTGTACAGATTTACCAATGGTACAAAAATAGATGGAGGACATGTTGTGATGATGACATAATGAATATGCAAACGACGTACAGAGGTTGAATGAATGTGTAGAACTTGGCAAGTGGAGTTCAATGTAGGAAATTGTGACGTTATGTAGTTTGGTAGGAAGAATCAAAAGGCAGAATATTATTTAAATGGACAGAGACCCTAAAAAGGTGCAACATCGAGGGATCTGGATTTTCCTGTGCATGAGACACGACATGTTAACATGCAGGTTTATCAAGTAAGTAATTAAGCAAATTTAATCTTGTCTTTCATTGCTGAGGATGTTGGAGCTTAAAAATAAGGAAGTCTTGTTACAATTGCTTAGGATGTTGGTGAGGCCACATCTGGGATACTATGTACAGATTAGTTCCCCATATTCAAAAAAGGATAAACTGGCGTTGGAAGCTGTTCAAAAGAGATTGCTCGGCCTATTCTTGGGAAGAGGGTGTTGACATATCAAAACTAATAAACAGGTCAGACCTTTATCCTTTACAGTTTAAAAAAATGAAGGGTAATCTTTTTGAAAATTACAATAGTCTAAG